TCGAGACTTGGCGGACAGCAAATTTTAGATAATTACATTATTGATTTTCTCTTATTCTCAAACATTGCTGGTTATATTTACTGTTGCTTAGCAGTATGAGTAATCATTAAGCAGGTTTTCTTGTTAGCGTCCTCCTTAGTTGATTGTTTTAAAACAAAAGACATAAATTGGTCACTTTGTACATGCTTCATATTATTTTATCCTTTCAGCTCTTACCTTCATTGTCAGTGGGCGTCTGTAGAAGACCTGGAAAAGGATAAGAGAATTCAGCAAAAGATAAAGCGATTTAAGTCAAAACAGGGCCAGAACAAATTCCTTTCGGAGGTATGAAATACCTGATTAATTTTTTAAATGTTTACTTTATTAAAATATTCTAAAGTTTGCATTTTGGATCAGTAACTCATTAAGAAAAACTTTTGCCTCATTTGGTGCTGTTACTTGCATATTGGTAACTGGTATTACTACAAAATGTGTAAACAGGAAATTTCTCATTCTTCCTGTTGCTTAGTCTAGAATCTCCTGGTCCTTATGACATTATGTGGAAGTAGCAGAAATGGTATGATTAAAATCTTATAATGAATGTGAAACTAATGAAAAATTAAGGAGATGAAAGGTCTGTTGATTTAGCAGTTTAAAAACTACAGTTGATACAGAGGTTTGACTTTTGTTCAACTAGTGCTATTCACAGAGTTCAGTGAGCAGATGCTGTTCAATGAGAGACAGTGTAGCGTGTCTCCTTCTGCTCCCTTTCTCCTTCCTAGGTCATCAGTTACAGAAAGATTACTAGGGCAGGGGAGAAAACTTTGCAGTTAGAGGTGTAGGATTACCGGCTCCTCACGTACTCAGTTATGTTTTTAAAAATGCTTTCATAAGTGGCTTAGTACAGTCTCTGGACTTTGGATCACTAGTTTGCTTTCACATATGTCAAGGATATTTAGAAAAAAATAAAATTCAACTCTCTAACTTTGAAAGCGACTCCTGGCTGATCTCCTAGTTACCCTCCTTCTGAAATAGTTAACCAGGGCTAAGGCTGTGACTCAGCAGTAGAGCAGCTGCTTGCACGTGTGAGAGTTTGGGTTCAGTCCTCAAGCACAGAGTGGAGGAGCAAAGCATAAATAAGAGTTAACAGAATATAAGCTGAAAGAAGTGTGAAAATAGCTCTAAAATGATACCCACTACACAACTGCTTCTTACTTCCACCATTCGTGGAGATGAGGAGGGTGAAACAGGACAGTATTTAGTATTTTGACGTCATCAGATCTTCATAAGAATCTTGGGGGACTCAATGCTTGCTCTCCTGGAGTCTGACTTCCATGACCCCAGCAGGCAGAAAGCCTGAGATGAGTCTCTGTTGCCTTCTCTAGTTGAAACACTCCAGCTCTGTTGTTCAGAGACCCAGCTCGGTGACAATGCAGTAGTTAATGCACTGAGTGAAACAAGTTACTGACTACGACTCAGCTCTTATATCTCAGAGAGCATTAAGATGATTCTTTCTTTGAAAGAGTGGTCTTGAGGAAAACAAAAAAACTATGAGTTTCTGGTTCTTGTATCCTTCTCAATGAAAGTGAAGTTAAGAATTTGAGAGCCTGGGTGAATTGCATCACTAGCTTCCTTTTAGAAAGAGGCACCATATGTCCTGTTGACCTTTTCTGAGGATCTGCGGGAGGGAAGAGGAAAAGCACAATGGACGCTTTCTCTCATCCTTAAATCTGGATCCTGTTTATTAAGTTATTTGGACTCTGGTTCCTGTAGTCACACACTCTTTAGGGAATTATGCCTGGCTCTAATATATAAGCCTATTTGAACGTGTCATCTGTTTGAGTCACTTATACCAAGGTTGAAAAGCACTATCTTCCTGGTAAATTGGCAACTAGAAATCTTAGTTCTATCGTGAATAGGTGTTAGCAGGAAAGAATAACAACCCCCCCCCCACCTTTACACGTGTGTGTTTTGTCCTGTAGGTGATCAAGGCTTGGTGCATTCCTGACTGTTCCTTTAGAATTTGTGACTGTGGCTGCTTTTACAGTCTTTGTTACATCTTAGGCTTCCTAAGTCTCCTGCACCTACAGTCTATTCAGAAATATCACTTAGACCAGGAAGCCCATCACATGCATGATGCCATAGATTGCTCACTCACTGAGTAGGGTTATAGAAGGTAAATTCAGCACTCAATATGAACGTTCATGTTTAACATAAGCAAATTGTCTTAAGGGCTGCTTTTGCCATCCAAACCTAGTTAGTGGAACCTTTTAGTGTTTATGTGGTTATAAATAATAATACATAGTATTCGCGTAAACCCAAGAGTTTTTGACAAAACCAAGTACATCAGTGTACTAACATTTTAAGTTAACTGGACACTTTTTAAAAAATTAACTGGACACTTTAATGTGTTCTTTTTCTTAACTGTCTGTCTCTGCGAAAGCCTGAGGCAGTTGAAACACATTTTCGTATTTGTGCTCTTTATTTCGTAACTCACAATGCAAAGCACCCAAATTGGGCATTTTAAGTGGTACAGTATCCCAGAGTATGTTTTCTTCTTGAATGCACTGTGACTGACAGCTTACCTTTTCAAACTCTAGTTCAAAGCACAAGAATGATGTCTAAGTGACTTCTAAGCTTCCTTTGCAGATTAGCATTTTGAAGTTATTAAGGTAGTCTACAGCAACACATAATGATATATATAAACAAAGATCTCTTTGTTTTCTGACTCAAATCAGAAAACTTATCTAACTTGGGCTTCTTTAAAATATAACTTGGCCTATAACTTCTTTGTGAGCCACACTGTATTGTTTTATATGAACGGTATCCCATTTGAGCTGTATTCTAGTCCTATATTCATAAACAAGCTGTATTACTTTGCTTTTCTAAATACTGTTAGGATATTGGTTTTAAGTGACTCAATTTATTTAAATTTCCTTCCTTGAATGCTCAAAGTTTGATACAAATAAATCATTGGAATATTTAAAGTTAATGGCAAGACTGTTATTCTAAATGAGGTAATGATACTGATTGGCAAAGATTACCAAATATCATAACTGTGTTCACGTTTGAATGTGAAATCTGCTGGTTTCAGTGTTAGTAGAGTATGGTAACATTGTGTACATGATGCCTCACAGCGTCAGAAGATGCTGCGAGTGGTTCTGAGACTTGCTGGACTGTTCAGTGTGTGGCTCTGTCTCTTTATTGCAGACCGTACTTTCAAGAATGCTAAATGTATTGCATGCCATAAGCCTTTTGGATTGCTCATTAGTGAATTGTAATTTCACACTTCATCTGAAATATTCTTAAACATTCTCTCACAGTGAAAGGTTTCACACAGTAATTAAAATACCCAGTTAACAAAATCTGAAAAGTTTTATTTCCTCACGGGGAGTGATTTCGTTAAATTGTAGCATTTCAATTAATATAATAGAATTTGTCAAATACAAATTTTGTGTTGTTGTGATCCAAAATATTATTGCTGTGTGAAAAGTAAAATAGTATTTCTTCTGAGGAAATAAATAACCATTTTATCCTTTCCCCTCCTTTGGAACAGATTGAGGATGAGCTTTTTAATCCAGATTATGTGGAAGTTGACCGGATAATGGACTTTGCACGTAGCACAGATGACCGGGGAGAGGTAACGGAAAATCATTTGAATTATACAGAGTGGTTCAGGGAGCTTGTGTATGTTGACAGAGGAGACAAGGCCTGGTCCTGGTCAGAACCTTGAATCACAGTGCACTTGGTCTAAGTTTAACTACAACTTAATGGTTTGTTTTATGAGTCAGTAGTGCTAAATATTTTTTTTTATGTTCAGTCTGAATGATTTCTCTTTTAGTCAATTATCAGTCTGAACTATGTTAACTTTTTTTTTTCACAGTTCTAGACAGTGATCAGTAAAGACCTCACCATAGTTTGGCTTGTATATCCTGTAGTGCAAAGTTCCCTTATATAATTGACAGCACACTTGTAGCAGAATTCAGTTTAATGTCACTTAGCATTGGACATCCAGTGATGAACTTCTGATGAGATACCTTGAGGATAATAGAAAATACTTCTCTTTATGAGATTCCACACGTGATGTTCTTGTGTTGCTTTGTAACCTGTGAGACTCTAAAGGGCATTTGATAGGGAAGTGAGAATGAAGACATGTCTGGAGACTTCCAAGCATGTGTCTTGGCGATGGTGCCTCTCTATCATGCATTCTGTCATCTTGGCTGCTTTGTTTGAATAGATCTAGAGCTTAGGTCTTGTTCAGATAGGGAGAGTCAGCAAGGAGCTCCTATTTTACTCTAAACCCTGTGTAACCTAACTTCTGGTGTTTCAAAGACCACCTCTGTAATATTATCTTTACTTTTCTAGTCTTGCTTAGTTGTTAAAAATGTCTCATAGTATATTTACATTGTCAGCAAATATTTTCGCCTCATTGCCAGGTCAGTGTACCTTGATCTTGAAGTGAGGATCAAACCTGAATATTTTCTAGAGGAAAGACAAAAAGGAGAAATCCTACTGATTTGCAGGGCCTCAAATATTTTGCCCTTCATTCTTCTAAAGCTCAAGTACATTGTTTTAGCATGATTGAATGCAGACTGTGTCATCTTTTCCTAAACAACTAGTCAGTTATATAAACAAATAAATATGCTAAGAGGTTTACTGTATAAATCCACACTGTGTACTTGATGAATGATTTGCCCAGATTAAAATGAAGCTTAGATTTGGCTTCTTGTTTATTAGCTACTCCTTTTTGGTTATTGTTATCACTAGTGATTTAGGTAAAAATGTTAATTTTTTTCTGTTAATACACAAGAGTATGGTTTCCAGTGTATATCAGAGACAGCTTTTAGTGGTCATAGCTTTAAAATGTGAACCAGTTCAGTCTTACTGATGCTGGGGGTATATTGACAAATGAAGCAGAGTACAGTTTTGCCTTAATACATAATACTTGGTCAAATGACTTCAGCTCTGATTTGTTTGAACCTGGCCCAGCCTGTGACTCACTATCTGGTGAAGTGGTGCTCACTTCCTTATGAAGACAGCACGTGGGAGCTGAGGCAGGACATAGATCAAGCGAAGATCGAAGAGTTTGAGAAACTCATGTCCAGGGAGCCGGAAACAGAGCGTGTGGTAAGAATAGGCTTGTGGTCGAGGATTTAATTTGGAAATAGCACAGTCGTATGGTCTTTGGGAAACCGCTAATGGGATTTACTATATTTGAAACAGGAGCGACCTCCTGCTGATGACTGGAAGAAATCAGAGTGTTCCAGGGAATATAAAAACAATAACAAACTCAGGGAATACCAGTTGGAGGGAGTAAACTGGCTACTTTTCAATTGGTACAACATGTAAGTAAAATATACTTCACTCAAAAATAGTGTAATAAAATTTTAAAACTCAAGTCTTGGAAATATACTTATTCAACCAATAAATTAGCACACAGATTGTCAGCACTATGTAAAAATAGTATTTGTTTCTTAGAGAATTTCTTTGAAATGTATTTTGTTGAATTTAAGCAAACAGTTAAAGCTATATACATTTGTATAATATATATTCTGTGAAAAGAGAGCAATATCTAATGTCTGCTCCCCATTAAGCTTAACTTTTTTTTTTTTCCTCCCCAAAGGCGAAACTGCATTTTAGCAGATGAAATGGGTTTGGGAAAAACTATCCAGTCCATTACATTTCTCTATGAGATATATTTGAAAGGAATCCATGGCCCTTTTTTAGTAATTGCCCCATTGTCCACAATCCCCAACTGGGAAAGGGAATTCCGAACCTGGACGGAGTTGAATGTGGTTGTGTATCATGGGAGTCAAGCTAGTCGTCGGACCATTCAGTTGTATGAAATGTACTTCAAAGATCCCCAGGTAAAATATCATGGGGTGCATCCCCTGTGCGTACCGTGTGCATTTTAAGGGGTTGGACACTCAGTCTCAGTGACATGGGGGTGCGGGTGAGGCATCTTGATTTTGCTAACTTAAATTTGCTTGAGATTTCTTACCCAATGTTTATATTATCTTTCTACATCAGTAGATACTGCTTTTTATAATTTTCCCTTCTATCATTCTGATTATTTAATTAGAAGAAATAATTTCTTTTACCTTGGATGACCACAAAAGTCTAGAATGTACCAATATCTTAGTTTTATTTTTTTATGCTTTAGACAAAACCAAACAAAAACTACTGATACTAAATGTGATTAGGGAATATATTTTATTATTAGGCATTGTGAAAATTCAAGTAGACCGAAGAAGAGGGATTTATTCTTTGGCCCATAGTAAAAGTCACTATAGTTTTGTCTTGCTCTAGTTGTCAATTTATAATTATTGTGTGATGTTGCAGTGAAGCATCATATATGACATGATGGGAATAATATTTGCCAAGACATTTTTAAGCTTTAAGTAACAGATGGCTGTCCTGTAATCTGAAATAAGGCAGCTTGTTCTAGAAGCATGTTTATTTCTTTCAGTAGAAAAATGTAACCTATAATTAAGTAAAGGAGAAAAATACTGGTCTATATTTGTATTTAAATCTTTAGATTTAAGAAATTATGAGGTTTTGCCTTTATGAACTTCTTTCTAAATTTCAACTCTTGACATCTTACAAGAAGTGTTAGAAAGAATAAAACAAAACGTTTTTTTGTTTTTTTAAGTTAGAAAAACTTTTAAAAATTTAAAAGTTGTGCCAGGTGGCTCGCCTGGAGAAAGAGTCCTCAGTGCCTGGGTTGCTAACTAGTTCAGTAGGACAAAAAAGAAACACATATAGATTGGAAAGGAAAAATCTGGCTTTATTCCAAGATAATTAAGAAAATGCCAAAGGATGGACCCAAAAAAAAAAAAAAAAAAAAAAAAAAAAATTAAAAGTTCTATTAGGACCCTGTTCCCTTTTAGACCCTATAGACTGAGTGTGGAGTTTTACTAGCACTTTTCTAGTTTCTTTTTAAAAGGAAATGTTTTAAACTCTGTTTTACCAAAATAGCTTCAACCTTTAAAAGACCTGAAAACAGAAGGTGTCACCTAAAATAAATAGTTCCCCAAAGGGCAAAATAGATATATTAGCTGTTTATTCATTCTCAAGTCTATTACCATAATCATTACTACCTAATAATTCTGATTTGTTCTTGTAGGGTCGAGTGATAAAGGGGTCCTATAAGTTTCATGCTATCATCACTACATTTGAGATGATTTTGACTGATTGTCCCGAGTTGAGGAATATTCCCTGGCGCTGTGTGGTCATTGATGAAGCCCACAGGCTGAAGAACAGGAACTGCAAGCTGTTGGAAGGACTCAAGATGATGGACTTGGTCAGTGATTGTATTGGCAATGCCCCCGGATCTCAGAACTGTTGCTGACTTGCTAGTCCCACTTCTGTGAATCTGTTGCCTGTGAAGGGCATCTGCAAAGCCTGTCCATTGTGGTGGTGCAGTCTCTTAGACTCAGCTGTTCAAAAGCTGCCACTGCCTTCCTCATCTTACAAGCGTTTGCTTGTTGTCACAGCAGAGCAGACTCATGGTATTTTTCACCAAAGTGAATTTCTGATATTTGCTCTACTCTTTTGCTAGATTTTTTGCTGTATCATTAACTGTTGGCCAAGTGTTACCTTAATAATGACAATCCGGTTGTGTTCAACACCTGTGGGTTTTGCTCCACAGGGGCCATTTGGGCTTGGAGATGCAAGCTGTCAGTAAAGTTGGCTGGGGCATCTTGTGTTGGTTCAGTTTGATGCTGAAAAGTTTGGAGTAGTGTAAGACCTCACATTTGTTCTGGAGCTTTAAGCTGCACCTATCTTATAGCCTTTCGGTTTCCAAAGAAATAGCCATGTCTTTTTGATTTTTCTAGAACTTTCTTTTTCTCTAGGAATGCTCGCCTGTGGCATATTAAAGTAGCAGAATGTTACTTGCTGTACCTCACTGCTGTTGTACCCCAACAGAGCTTGATGCATGACTTGTTGTCCTTGAATTTCTTTTTGCTCCGTAATTTATAAGTTTATAATGACCATTTGTTTCTCCTTTTTTAAAAAAATTATTTTAGGGCCGGGCATGGTGGTACACTCTTTTAATCCCAGCACTCAGAAGGCAGAGGCAGGTGGATCTTTGAGAGTTCAAGGCCAGCCTGGTCTACATAGTGAGTTCCAGGACAGCTGGGGCTACAGGGAGACCCTGTCTCAAAAAGACCAAAAAAATTATTTTTAGTTAAAAAAATATTTTATTATTTTTATGTGTATGAGTGCATTGCCTGCATGTATGTAAGTGTACCTGTGTTGTGCAGTGCCTGTAGATATCAGAAGAGGGCATGGAATCTTTTGGAACTGGAGTTAGGATGGTTGTTAGCCACTGTGTGGGTGCTGGGAACCAAACCTGGGTCCTTTGCAAGAGCACTTAGTGCTCTTATAGCTGAACCATCTCCCCAGCCTGTTTCTCCTTTTTTTTAAAAAAAAAGGGGGGGTTATTTTTGTGTCTTTTGGGGGTGTGTACCTGGGTGCATGTGTAACACTGTAAACATGTGGCAGTCAGAGGACAACTTCTAGGAGTTGGTTCTCTCTTATCATATAGGTTCCAGAGATTGAACTCAGGACATTAGGCGTGGTTGCAAGTGCCTTTACCTTCTGAGGTCATCTTTCTAGCCCTACTTCTCATTTTTAATGTACATTTTAGAAAGAAAGTTATTTTTTAGGATGTGTTAGGTGATTTGATGAATTAAAAAAAAAAAAACCAAAGCACTTCCATGAACTCGGTGTGGTAGCACATGCCTTTAATCCTAGCACATGGGAAGCAGAAGCAGATGGATCTCTGTGAGTTCACGGCCAGCCTGGTCTACATAGTGAGTAGACAGCTGGGGCCACATAATGAGACCTTGTCTCAAACAAACAAGAACTTTCCATAGATCAGTATCATCTCTTCTTAATTGAGAGTTGATGATGGGAAGGAATATTCTGTGTGTTTATGGCTATGCATTTTTTGCCAAACACAGAGACTAGTAGAAAGAACCTTTGAAAGCTTTCTGTTGCAGCTTCCTTGGAAGGGGTAAGATGAGCCAACCATTTTAATTACCAACAGGCAAAATGTAATTTTGTTTTAAAGGAGAAGTCTGACTGAATTCTACTCAGGACAGCGGTTCCCATTTTTCTCTCTAATTATGAACATTGCCCTCAGCCTTTATATAGCACTTCAGCAGTTTTTGGTGGCTTGATGTGGAGTAGTTGTACGGAAGGGACAACTCACTGTCCTTGATTTCTCCAAGTGATACTTTAGCATTATAGTGAAGTAAACCTTTATTTGTAGGTAAAGACAAATATTCACAATATAGCTATCTTCAGGGTAGGGATACACCTTCATGTTAACCCACTAAGGGACAGTTGTATGACTATTTCCTGAAGTCACGAGGCAGAGTTTGTCTAAGTTGTGTTATTAGTTCTCAAAATATTCTTTTTTTT